TTTTCAAATTTCCCGCGTCTGGGGGCAGTTTTCTAACGGAAACAATTAACGGCAACTCGCGGCTATTTCCGGTCAACTAAAACTGACAACCTAACCTAAAAATCGGAGCTCGTGATATCGTGAAATGAAATGTAGATGGATTGCGTTGGATATTTAAAAGTTGATCGATTTGGTTACCGCATAAAGCGTATATGGACGACTATAAGAGATCACGTTGGGTTTGTAAACAAACCGAAGGAAAAAATAACAACAACAACAACATCAACGACTCAGCATCTTCCGGAAATCATCGAGCCTGCCGTTTGCTCGTTTCCGGTGATTAGAAAACTGCCCCCAGACGCGGGAAATTTGAAAAAGCGCGTTACTAACAACACAAATTGCGCAGTACGGAGTGTATTTCAGACTTTTTTAATGTGACCATCGTAATTTTCGTGTCATTTAACCTCTAAAAAGTCTATTCGCGCGGCTGTATCTCTTGCATGCAACAGGCCCATTCAAACGATGAGTATCAGAAATGGAATCCCTGAAACGACTAAAATTAAGACAATGGGTATTCTGAGTAAAAATTGTCTCCTAGTTTGATCGAAACAGAATAAATACCTACAACTTTTACAGCAGGCCAAAGAACAGTACTTATATTGCTCTGACAGTTCACAGTGAAAATATTTTTTCCCTGCATTAATCAGTTTTTTTTTCTTTTTTGTTGGTTTAAGTCAGATAATCGTTCAGTATGTTTAAGAATCTTGTCAGATTAAACATGACTATTTTACAATAACATCGAAGGAAATTTTTTGAAGGGGCCGTCCCTAAATTACTGAACACTCCAAGAGGGGGGGAGGGGGCTTTTGCAACGATACATGGCATTGCAGGGTGGATGAGCGGTATAGAGCTAAGCGTTACGCAACGAGTTTAAGTGATTTTTTTTCGAGTTCCTCGTGGAATTTTTCGTCGGTCATCTTTAGAAGTTTAAAGAATCTTGAAAATATTCTCTGCAATACTTTCACTTTTTCTCACTAATTGGAAACACCAACCCGTGCGGTAAATCTAGGGTGATATTTAGATTATTTTTATCGAAATAGAAGGGGGGACCAGGCAAGCATTTTGTAATTTTCTGGGGAGAGGGGGGGGGTCTAGTACAATGTTATGGAGTGTTACAGTAGGCGGGGGGTATCAAAAAACACAAATTTAGCGTTACGTAATTTAGGGACGGCCCCAAAATTCTCTTGCTAGGTATAGTTTCTACGTTTACTTTGCAATACTCCCTTTTCAAAATTGATCCGTGTCAATATTTTCATCACTTCATGCAGAATCCAACCTCCATATACTATCATCTCGTTGGCTGAAAATTTTGCACAGTCAACAAACTCAGCCTGAAGATAACAGTAGCTTTTATCAGAGGTCAGACAATGAATAATAACCGAAAGCGCATCAACCTCGTCGACACCAGTGGATAATAGGTTTCATACAATGTTATAAGGTGAACATAGATAAATAGAGTCCAATTTGTTTCATCCAAAATCAGTCCTTTACTTGAAGACCATCCTCATAAAAAAAACTGAGTGTTTAGGGCCGTAATTATAGTCGTTTCCTAAACAGCTCCTTGCCTAAAGGAGGTTCCATTCGGTTTGCACCTTGATTGAGGGAGGTTTAAGAAGCATTTGAATTTACGCGGAAAAAAGGCGTTAGAGGTTATCCCCTAAAATTGTGTTACTGCCCCAATTTGTTGAATGATAGTGCATGTCCAATTAATTTTGGTAGTATCGAAACATTTGGGTTATTGGAATGGTCCAAGTCGGGACTTAGCCCCTACCTATTTTTTTCCGTGTAGCATCAAGATAGGAAACTTTTCACCAACCTTGTGCATCTATTTTCAAAGCTATCAATATAATGATTCTTTTTCGAAACTTGTAAAAATATACCTTTATAAGTATAATGGTATTATATGCCTCCTTATACTTTGTAAAACATACTGGGCCACCCCAAGATAAGGAAATTTTACTTTAAGTTATACACTTTAACTGCCGGGAGAGTTTAAATTTCTCATTATTAGGTTCAAATAGTTCCGCGCATCCTTAAATGCCATTCAGCTTTGAAAATTTGCATTTGAGCTGTACAATTTTAATAAATGAAATTAAAAATTTTAATTTGCTGTACAGTTTTAATAAATAAAACTGACATTTTCGATTTGACGCGCCGAATCAAATGATAGACGTCAGAACCGAGTCTTGGATGGAATCCCCAAACTTGGTTCCCTTACCTTTAATTTGAAGTTTTACAGCATCTGTCCAAAAGGAGAAACCAATGTTAATAAAAATGACACTAGATTTTAAGTACCCTTCTTCTTATACTCGTGCCCAACTTTTCTAAATAATGAACTAACGAAATAGCGACTGAAAGTGTACTATTTCTACTCTACTGTTGTCGGCTTGTCGTTAACATGTGCGCAAACAACACCAGATCGCCTTCAGTTTTGTGTATATGCAACACGGGCATCCGCAAAGCACGAATAGTTGTATCCTCGTGATGAGTGCAGGCGCTAAACCACGTCAGTTGGCTGCGGGTATTAGCGGACCGTTGCTCCGTGCATATTACAAAGGCAGCGTTATTTTCACACACGGACGGTGACAGGCTTCCTATGATGAAGAAATTATATCTGGAAAACTACCCGGTATTTTTCTTTGGAATTTTCTGGGAATGAGATCATCACGAGTCCACCTTGGATATCTGAATGTCTTAAGAATATTCACAATGTCACAGTAAAATGCATATTTTAGTGAAAGAAGTTATATTTCGTTGGTGAAACTGCAGACATGCGTACCTATCTTGGTTTGCGGCGTTGCAGACCTTCTGTCATACTTAATTTTCTACATGGAAAACTACTGAACGCCGTCTTTTGAAAATATCAGTGATTGTTTATCGCTGTGTAAAGAATATTCTGTGAAAACTTCAAGCCGTTATATTCGTTCGATCTCCTTTTCAAAAATATAATAGAAGTGGAGATTTCGAAACTCTGCAAACTCTAGATGCGCATTTTTGCAATTTCACCGTCGATTTGAATAGTCACACGGCTCTTCTTTTTAGCACGGCGGCATTAGGTAGTTAAAAAGTTAAGAGTTAAAAAGTCTGCACTGGTTAAAAAAACCTCTTGGTTCAAGAATTCAGTTTCTTGTCGCCGGATTTAAGAGTCTGGACTCTAGTTTCAACGCAAAATCCGCTTGAATCCAATGCAAAATCCGCTTGAATCCAATGCAAAATCCGCTTGAAACAAGAGTTCAAGACTCTTAAATCCGGCGACAAAAAACTGCACTCTGAAGTCAATGCAATGCGGCATTGGTCCAATAGGTCTTTTTTACCAGTGTGGCTCAATTTTAGTGAGATATGTCTAATCAAAGATTATTTTTCACGTCTTTCAAACACACGTCAATGATTTGCATCGTATTGAACGTTGTACTTTATTAAACTTTAAAACACCCAAACTGCACCATAAATCCAATTTTAAATTCTCTGTTGGTATGAATGTGAACTTAGCCCCTCAAAGCTTATTCTTTTGGACTTAAAAGAACACCATCCCCTAAAAGTTTAGATGCAAATTCTTCTATCACCTTAAAATCAGTTTTCTCCAAAAATGTCCTTCTTTGCGCTAAAATCATTTATTCGGTAGGCGAGCATAAACATTTATTTTTGTTAAAAAACTTTGTTACCCCTTATTTACGAGGTTATTCTTCATATTGAATCAAGTGAAAGAATTTGTTCTTAAAAATCCTTCTCAAAGTAATAAAGGAATCGCAAACGTCATGTAAAAAAGTCTCAAACAGCAGGCCGCTTACTCTGCTGTGCTAAGCGAAACCGCCGTAAGAGCCTTCAGACGTTGCCACAATTTCTTCGATAAAAATCAAATTTACCGGGAAAATTGATAATATTTTTCCTCAAAAATGTTTGACAACTTTGTTCGGTTTTTTGATCTAAAATACCTGAAAATTTTGAGGAAAAATATGCGTAACTTTCTCAGAAACACATGCTATATCCGGGTGAATTTGACAACTCTTTGATGTTCATACGGCGTTCTTCCTTAACACGGCTATGTAGAAATCGTATGTGTTTGTCGAGAAGACGAGACAAGACTAAGTTTAAATGAATTCATCCAATGAGTCGGTTTTTTCAGCTGTCCTGTTCATTGTGCCTACGTCGCGTCGCGTTGGGCTGTATCATGAAGATTTACGTACAACAAGTTATTGGCATCTCGGGAAGTGCATTTAACTGGTCGTCACCACGGAACAACCCCCACCCCGAAATGGGCACCATACATATGGACAACATTTTGCAACAAGGCATCGATATTTCTGGATCACTTTAGAAACAATAAATATGCCATTTGTCTCCCTTAGAGTACCTATATACAACTACAAAGCCGAACCCTATGCCCTAGCCCTAATGCCTAAGTATGGACAACTCGAAATATGTAGCTCTTAGGGCCCAAGAGGGTAGGTAATAGGTAACCTTTGAAGACGAAAAATGTCACTGTCAATCTTTGGACTCCAATATCAAACAAATAAGGACTAGATAATTCATAAGTAAGCATTTTCCCGCAAAAATGAGTAAGTTTACACAAAAACCGAGTCCAATGAGTGCTTTAGCAACGACAGTCCCCAACAATTGTGATTATAAATCACTCTGGATAATTTGAATTCATAGGTTGCCTACCTTTTTGGGGTCTAAGAGCTCCATCTCTCAACCTCAAAATTTTCGACTTGTCCGCACTCTCCCTATATAGGCACTCCAGTCTCCATATGCAAATAGGTGATTTTGGAAGAAAGTCAGAGATACCGGCTCCTTATTGCAAAATGTAATCCATATAAAGGACGACAAATGAAACCGACAAATTACTTAACTCTATTTCATCTTAGGAATGTTTTGTTAACAAACAAACCAAGAATATAAGCAGTCCGCAGATCAACCCTCTATACACAAGTAATTGAATAGCGATGAGAAAAAAGACGCTGTTTTCATGGCACAGAAACTCGAATATATTTTTACTTTAAACTTTGACAAACTTGTCTGTGAAAGATTTAATGCAACGTTATACAATAAATTCCATGATAGAGAGCTGAATACAAAACACAAGCTAACTGACGAACTTTGAAATGATAGAAAATTAAATGATTAATCTTCACAATTTTGACGGCTATCACGAAGGGCTTGTGATTGGCCCTCAGTGCGCCTGCGTTCTACAATGAAACTATACCGACGATGAAACTCTCGAACCACGTATTTTGGTTTCCGATGTTGCAAAACTTCCCGTCACTACTTTTTTTTAAAAGAAATAGGAAATCACTCAGCGGCAATTCTTTAAAGCTGCGGTGAGTTATGTTCTCAGTTAAAAGGAAATTCTGTGAAAACTTCTAGGAATAATGTTGGTAATTTCTTTTTTAAAAAGATAAAATACGAACGGTGATTTTAAGAGACCACAATCGAGGAACATGGTTTGGAAGTCTCACCGTTGATATTAATTGTATTTACTTACCTAGCTACGATTTTGTAAATCGAGAATTTGGGGGTCCTGGAGGACTTTACCTAGGGAACTTTTAAGCCTTCCTTTTTTTGACCTTTTTTATCGATTAGTATTTCCGTCAAATGTGCAGCAGCAAAAATAATCTTAAGCAGTTGAGATATTTTGTTAAGAAAAAAAAAAAAAAATTCATCATAGTAGAAAATGTGATATACCGAATAATCGATAGTTTTAACAAATCTGGCATAGTTCCGGGCACTGTTGATAAAATCAAACTAAGGAAACATTGGAACTGGGTCAAATACTTTCTACACCTCGGAGTCAGACAATTTCACTCGAATATATGAGATGAAATTCGAATCGGTGTTTTTTTATCACCAATCTGTGTTTTGTTTCATCATATTCGTGTAACTTTTCTCTAATATGAGTAAATTTACTCAATTATTCGACTGAAATTTCTCATGAACTCCAAGATTGAGAAAATATTCTACCTAGCAACGAATTAAACATGAGAGTCTCTACTTAGTTTGGAGTTTGTTTTCTTAACAGTGGCAAATTATGCTATGTATAATTAAAGTTGCAAGTTCCTTAAGCTTTTAGAGGGGTGCAGATCACGCCATATCGATGAAGTTCAGTTGCTTGGTTAAGATGAATGGATAATTTTTTTGCTTGGTCCATAGAAAAGCACAGGAGAAGTAGGTAAAAGGTGGTATATTATTTACAAAAAATGGAATAGCCGAGATTGCACAAAAGCTCGAAGCAAAGTCATTGCTGAAAATCGACCCTGATCTCAAGTCTCATGCAAGAATATTGAAAGATTCAATATTGTCTAGCATGGTTCATGGGAGATCTGATCACTTCATTCTTGAGTACAATCTGGGATATCACCTAATCAATATGAAAGAAGCATGACTTAGAAACGACAAGTTATAAATAGATTAAGGCAGCTGGAAATATTTTGCTGTGAGTTGTGAACTGCGACGGTTAAAATTTAACGATGTCATCTTTGCCACTCTCCTCTTTTTATTTGAAAACAAAAGTGTTCTTAGTGGCATTTTCAGTCGTAATTCACCAATCAGTGGTCAATTTTTTCTCCGTTTGCATTCTTCCTCCATTGAGTATCCCTTCGGCAAATCGGCTTCATCGAATTTCGGCCTCTCAAAGAAATGTAAAAAAATCTGCTGCATATATATCGAGAAAGACTGTCACACCTGGAATCGATTATTAATACACAGATTAAAATGAATAGTGTTCGCCAATTGGCGAGAATCGGCTCTCTGCCGTGATAGCAAAGAGAGCAATAAGTGCGTTTTCGTATGAGCCATGATTTGCACATGTTTTTATGTGTCTCGAGGTTCATCTCAGCATGCACTTGCTGCTCATTTCGCTGTCACGGCAGCTCTGATGAGCGTATTATTTCAAGCTGCCCTAATCTGTATAGGAAAAAAAGAACTGACGTTCACCTTTATTCTAACGATTTTAGGGGAGGGGGTCGTAGTTTGACATCGGAATGGAAATTTAAGTTCTATTCTCTTGTTTCTTCAATACATCGAAGGATAAAAATTTGGTGAAAGCAAACCATTTCTTCACAAGTCTCACCAGTGAATCAGTCTTCAAGATGAAAACTAATTATTCTAAGGAACGTTTAATGACTAGCTCGTGCTCTTGTGTTCATTTAAAATCAATCTAGTTAGAAACTTGAAAAAAATAAAAAAAAACTTTGTTGTCAAATCTTTAGCACACAACCATGTTGGTTATCGGAGCCAAAAATGTGTGACTCATAGCTTTGTATTATTTCGTCCCGTACATGGATTGTTTCGTGCGCTCTGACCCTTTATTTTAAAATTGTAGCATTTTTTTCCGATGTTGATAGATGGATAGATCTTTCGATAGATTTTTTTTCCAAATTGAATGTACAATGCACCTCATATGATAAATACCTTTTAATAGCATTGATTTTCAACAAAACGAAAAAAAAAATAAATGATAAAAAAGTATGTGAGAATCAGTTGTATTTTTCACTTAGATACTTATACATTTTGATTGTCTATTTCATTAGAGATCTTTTAATTAGAGCAATTATGATAATCTACGTTTATATTTTTCAAAGGACGATCAGAATGATTATTTATATGCATATGTATCTGTATCCCACCTCCCCTTCAGTTACTTGGCATAACCGAAACATCCTGTAATCACAAGAATTGATTAAACGTCTAATGAGTATCAGTGATATAACGAACGTGATAAAATTTTACAAAACAACGTCTAGCAGTAACAAAATTAATTATTTCAAACGTGAAAACAACCTCAGGAATCAAACGTGATTGGATGAAACGAACGTTTCAAAGAATTTGACTATTTGGACTACCATAGAATATGTGGATATATTTCGAACAGCAAGTCTCCCTCACAATTGATTCTTCAGCCTCAAAAACTCATTATGTATGCGCCTTTGCGCAACATAGGTACCTAAACCGTATAAATTCATGAGTCTCAAAACATTTACGCTCTCTTGGAATCATCAGCGGATTGAAAAGGGAGGGTTCAGCCACTTTTTAGTATGGACAATATTGCCACCAAAATGACAGTTTGTATTTACGTCAATTAAGCAGTATCGTTGAACATCGCGGGATAGAGGAAAGAAAAATTTGATATTTTTCTATTTTTCTCTCTCTGTGACTTTGAATATTCCGCGTGTATTTTTTGGAAATTTAACATGAAACCGAAGAAAGTCTTCTTTTGACTGAGGATAACGAAATTAAATTTATATGTTAGTAGATATCTTAGCTTACGAAAAATTTAAACGATCTTCATCTTAATCAATTTATAATAACCTTAATTCATTGTACAATTCGGAGTTTTGATGTATTTCGCTCTTTTGATGTAGTCACATTTATCATCGACATGAGATTTTGTGCGCAAATATATTGCGATGTAAAAAATCAGACCTCGATCAATAATATTCCTTCATTTATACTTTATCAAGTGGCAAAATCACAAATGAAAATATGAGCAGTAATCTGATAATTGGGTCTTCAGAGGTGGGGATAATTAAGAGAGAGAGGAAATGCAAAGATGGAAATTAAATCTCACTGCTGGCGCGTACAGCCTTACGCTCAATAAAATGTACCGGTTGGTGCAATTATTTTAAAAATAACTCAAATTACAATGTGGGGAATATTCAATAGGCATCCTTTTCGATTGAACAGCAAATGTCTCTGGGTCAGAGCTGCGTTGATCCGGTGAGTTCAATATAGAAATGAAAGTTGACTTGTGGAGGGGTTGAGGCCTCGTTTCAATGGTCAGGGTCTCAGTTGAAGGATTGTTTGGTCTCAGTAAAAGAACGAGGGTCTCAGTTGAGACTGAGGTTGGTCATCGCTTCTTCCTCGTCATCTTCGGCCTCGTCTCCTTCGCTGGGCTCGCCTAGCGCATTCACGAACTCTGAAAAACAAAATAAAGTCAGTTTAGAATTAAAACGAAGATAATAAGCTGGTTTCTATACATTTTCTTACATGATATACTTTACTCACACAGCTGGAAGCTTTTTCAGCTCACCTCGAGCCATCATCAGAGCTTCGACACACAATACAAAAAATTACTAAAACTACATTATAACTACACAATGAAAGCAAATCGCACAATTACGTCGCAAAAGATGATAACCCGATTACCTTACCATTACCGCATTTACCATCAATTTTTTATCTCCATTTTAATTCTAATTATTAAAGGTACTACACCAACAGAAATGTTTGAAAGTCAGTTACGGAAATAAATGTATACGGAGATTTTCAAATAAACGGATGAGATACGCATGGAGATGAATATACGAATTTTTCGACTTAAGCCATCATAAAAGCGCCATAAGCAGAGGCGGATCCAGCAATTTGGCAACACCTGGTTTTCTCCATTTAAACCTATGTTAAATAATCGATTCTTGTCGGAGCACCTGGCCCCTCTATGAATCTATACATTTCCATAGGTGTAAAGGGAGAAAAACAATGTTGCGAAATTGCTGGATCCGCCAATGTCCATAAGTACCATTAGTGCCACATGTGACATAAGTGCCATTTTTTTTCGTATACAGGAAGTTGCTTATATGAATGAGCCGAACAATGTGACTAAGGGTTGAGGTCCATTTGGACGTATTTCTGCTCTACAATTCCCATTCATCCTTACGGCCCGAGAACGAACGAGCACATCAGCACACCCCTTGTTTGCCACCTGGTTCCTTTTAGCTGAACTACGTACATTTTATGAAACGATGACTGTTATACGAGTGAAACTATAAAAACGTATTGATCCGAAGCTTCCAAAAGTCCACGGTGACTTGCTACTTCGACTTTTGCATCTTGTTCACGGTTGATTTTTGCAACTCACGTCTCGGCTCGCGGTTGAGTTGTGCACGAAGCTCAACGGTTCAAGTCTGCGAAGAACATCAATCAACGGTCCCTCTATCTTTCGGCCCCGTGAACCGCTCCTCAAACCCATCTTTCCGAGAACGGGCAACCTCTGTTTCCCAACTTTCCTGTTGCGCGCGAAATAGTTCTGAAACAGTCAAGCTTCCGAGTGAAGGCTTCCGCCCGAAAAGTCCTGCCCAACCCCCAACCCCCCGCCCCCCCACCCTCTCTCTATTCCCCCGTTTTCCCCGGCTCTTTATTCGCGCCCTTAGTCGAAAAACGCCGTAGCCTTATCATGCTACGAGAGCACCTCGCTTCTCTTTCAAGTACAGCGTAAAAAGCCCCCTCTAGGTTCTAGAGGCTCTAACTCTTAAAAGCTCTTTTAGATAGTTGGGCGAATTAACTCTTTTGATACACCAAGTCCCGAGTCAGGTCAAATTGACTCGTCTTTAAATACATAAATTTTGATAATTTGGGAAGTAGTTACTACGTATGTTTATCTTTTTGAAGGTAAAAAATGCTCTTCAATTTGAAATTTTCAAGTGCTCTTTAATTTGAAATTTTCAAATTCTCTTTTATTTGAAATTTTCAAATTCTCTTTTATTTGAAATTTTCAAATTCTCTTTAATTTGAAATTTTCAAATGCTCTTTAATTTGAAATTTTCAAATGCTCTTTAATTTGACATTTTCAAATTTTTGGTAACTTGTCGCTGGCGATTCATAACCCTTTCACAACCCTTTCATCATCCGTCGTATCTAAATCCCCCTGAAAAGACAGTTGGGGCAATTTGAACCGACGCGACGCACATTGGTTCCAGGGCCCGATCTAGGTGGCATTAATTAGAATATCACTGATGATGACATGTTATATATGTTTCTAGGGGTTCTTTGGGTCGCTCATTACGAATTTGAAGTCAATTTGACTGTATCATTTAGCATAAGGTGGTAAATTTTCATTTAGCTTGAAAATTCATACTTAATACCACATTAATAATATTTTAACATGGCTGAATTCCTGGACTGATTTATTTTTCAACCTTTTTTGATTTATTATCAAAAACTATCGATAAATTTACGAGGATTTGTCCTCTAATTAGTTTTTTTATGGGGGGGGGGGCAATGTTGTATAATTTTGTGAACCAGGAATTGCTATTATCTGGTAAAATATACCTCCTAAATGTTGTGGTTTCCCTGAGGAAAATAAATTCCAGTACCAAAGAAAACTGCTTATCCCACTATTCGAGTTGTTCATAAAGTGTTGACAAATCAGCGTAAGAAGAACTTTATTTGAACCTCAATGCTCGCTGATTTCTTGATTCGCCGCGCTTTAAAACCAACAGAAATTTTGAAGCTTTGTAATTTAATGGTACAATTATGCTATCAGAATTATTATGTTATCAGAATAACTATGCATTAAGATTCGATCTTCGTCTATAATTCAAAAAATACATTTAAATTCATTATACGCGGCAATTTAAACATACGCAACATAAATATTTTACTTGAACAAGAAGTATATTCACTCAATGAAGGAAAGCAGAAACCAAAATTAATAACAAAGTATTTTGAAAGAAAAATGATTACTGTCTGTAAGAGCAGGAAAATATTCATCGGTATAATATTTTATTGCGCATCAAAAAGAGTGAGGTGTCACACTTGCTTTTTTTTCTTTTTAAACAAAGTTGTGAGCTTGCGATGATTTCAGAGCCTTACAAACCTGAGAGAATAAAAACACGAAGAAATCATGAACCAAGGAAGAAATAAGCATTCGTTAGAGGACATTTACTCATACAATCACGGAATAATGCGCGAGGAGTGCAGTAAGCTCCTTTTCTGTGGAACAGTGCTATGTCTATGGGCCTCTCTAAAGGTACAGACAATGTGAAAAACAATCATCTAAACGATTGAGAGGTTTTAAGAACCCACGTGTTCTGTATTTTGAGCCATAATTGTAAAATTTCTAGTCAAAAAACGGGAACTGTCTTTAGTCTATGGGCTTCTCTACAGGTATAGACAAGGTGAAAAATAATCATCCCAATGATTGTGAGGATTTGAGAACTCACGTGATGTGCAAAAAATGCAGTCCTCAAAGATCTGGAGTCTGCAGTAGTGCAGTAAGCTCCTCAGTGTGTCAATTTTCTTCATTTCTCGAAGGCCGGTTTTGGAAATTCAAAGTGCGCTGACCTCCAGGGACGCAAGTATGCGCAGAATTTTTTTGCTCCGAAATCAAGTGTAGGGTCAGCACTAACTACTACAGTCGGTCTGCACGTGTGCGAACCTACGCAGGGCCTTTATTTTGAGTCATAATTGTAAAATGTCCAGTCAAAAAACCGGAGCTGTGGTAAGTCTATGGGCTTCTCTACAGGTATAGACAAAGTAAAAAATAATCATCTTAACGATTATTAAGACTTGAGAACCCACATGACCTGTAAAAAATGCAGTATTCATATTCCCAAGGATCTGAGGTCTGCAGTAAGCTCCTTAGTGTGTCAATTCTTTATTTCTTGAAAGCCGGTTTTGGAAATTCAAAGTGCCCTAACCCCCAGGGACGCAAGTATGCGCAGAATTTTATTGCACTAAAATCAAGTTTAGGGTTAGTACTAACTACTACTGTAGGTCTGTATGCGTGCGAACCGGCGCAAGACATTCATCTAGAGCCATTTTTGTAAAAATTTACTTGGAATTAGTAAAAAATAACGCTTTGTCTAACGGCTTGTCCCGATGTATAGACACGTTTTTGAAAGATAGTAAGAACGTATAAACCTTTAACATGCCTTATATTTTTGATACACCATAACAGAACACTTAACATTAGCATCTATTTCTGTGTGATGAACTTCAAATCATAGGACCTGACAGTAAACACTGAAAACTGGTGCGAGTCCGCCCAAAAGTACCTCGCGGCCTCACCTTTAGGTGCTTATCATTTCCTTATTAGTGATCCAATCTTCATGGTATTTAACCAAGTTACTCTCGAGAGTATGCACTATCAATCTGTGGTGTCAAATTTCAATTTTTCCAAAATTCATTTTTTCGAATTAATGCCACCTAGATCGGGTCTGGGAACCAATGTGCGACGTTGGGATCTCTAGGGGTAGTCGTAAAAAAAAATAAAAAAAGGAAAAAAATTAAAATAAATAAATAAATCCCGAACGCAGCACAACTCTCGCCATAATAACAACTTTTAGCCATGCGCCCTTCAGGGCTCCCGAGAGATCTCTAAACATTCATCTACATTTTTCTCTCTTACTTTTTTTTTCTTCAAAATGATCATTGATTAGGACACATCATATTTTGACTTACCATTCATTTATTATATCCATTTCATATTCATTTATTCATCCCCCCCCCTTTCTTTTCATTTTTTACTTAAATTTTGGAAATAATAAAGACCTCAGACGCGCGTTGATGACAGCGCTGAGATACAACTATTCGTGCTTGATAGACGTCAATGTTGAATTTGCAAAATTGAAGGCGCTGAGGTACAACTATTCGTGCTCGATGTATGTCCATGTTGCATCTGCAAAATGGAAGGCGCGATGGGGCGAACTCGCAGTGCTCCGCATCGTGCTGCCAATGAGGTGTCACTCAGATTCGAGAGGAAAATTTAAAAAACGCGGCTCGAATACGTCTTTTTTATCTCCGGCTGTGTTGACACTCGGTTTTTTATTTGTTTCAGTTTGATGTCTGATTTTTGTTTACGGTGTATTAATTCCAAAACTTGTGAGGGCTTTTTTTTCGCAAGGTGTTTGCTCTCGTGTACTTCTTTTAAACTATAAATTAAACCCTTTTCGAAAGTCTTCTAAAAATTGTATAATGGCTTAGAGGAGTTAGGGCTATTTAAGGAGATTCATTTTACCACGGGCGGAGTTGAAATTTGCGTTTTTCTTCCTTATAAGATTTTTAATTTTGTTGTTTCTTTTTCTGTTTCAGGTGAGTTCAACCCTTAGTTCTAGATCTAAGAATATTCATGTACAACTCATCGGTATTTCCGGGGTAAGTTTCTTTTCCTCTCATCTGTGACGTCATTCAGTGGCGAGG